CTGGGGAGGGGTAGCCTCCCACTAGTTCGAATTAAGGGGCTACACACCCCTTAATTCGAACTAGCTAGTTCGAACTAGGCTTAATCCTCGTAAAATGAGGTTTTCCTAGTTCGAACTAAGCGCTCCGCTAGTTTGAATTAAGTTCGAACTAGCGGAGCGCTAGTGTAGCGCCTATCAAAGTTAGTTCGAACTAACGTTCGTTAGTTCAAACTAACTCTGTAGTGTAGACATACCCCACGTGCTGGCCAGCACTCCTCCTATCCATCACAGGGTCAGATTATCCCAGCAATGCAGAACAAAAGAATCGAAGCATGAGAAAGAAGCTGGCCCCATGTCACATTGTAGCCAGTATTAGCTATCCCTCAATCCTAGAAGCATCACATTATCTCACCTCTGAAAGGAGACAGAGTGTGGGGGAGTAAGGGGAGTAGAATGGGTTGGTTTTGGACTCATGTAGCGTATACTCGTGATATGGCAAACTTAATCCTCAGAATGTCATCTGACATTCTGCCTGACTATAGCATAGCTTGTCCTTGGATGTCCTGCAATACTTGAGAACAATTAACTGAATTACTGCCCCCAAAACAATTTACTAGGTTTCCTGGAATGCGAACAAAAGCAGGACTGAAAACAACATAAAAGTTCTCCCCTGCTCCTCAATTTTGTAAAAACTTGTTGTGCAGTTGATTTATCAAACTGAGATAGTCTGTGAACAATGAGGCATTCCAAACCTGTTTCCCTAGAGATGAATCCTTAACAAAATGCAAGTTTCCAGCCAAATTGCTCAGCTGCAGTTTATGCACTTGCATGGTAGAACTCTTACAATTTGCGAAGTGCTATCTGCATAGACCTCCCCAAAGCCCTATAATGCACACAAAAACATACGGAAGTGGCTGAAGATTTTTGCTCAGGTGAAAGCAGAGCACTTATGTATGTGCTTCTGTCCCCTCAATTATATCTGGATTGCTCAGTACTTACTCAGGGACTGGTACATGTGAGGAATCTGAGTACACTACAGGGCTTTGGTATCTACTAAAATATTAAAAATTATGTGATAACATTTGGATATATAATAGAGTCTCGCTCAACTTTTTTCTTTCTGAAGCCCCCTGCAATGAAACTCCGTGGCCCATCTGTGCCACAATTGTTTTTCTGCATATAAAAGTCAGGGCTGGTGTTTAGGAGTAGCAAGGAAGGCAATTGTCGAGGGACCACAGGGGAGTTGCAGGGGGGCCTGGAAAGCTACACTGCTCAAGCTTTGACTTCAGCCACAGGTGGTGAGGCTTCAGCTTCCTGCCCTGAGCCTGAGCAAGTCTAATGCTGGACTTGCTTGGTGAATCCCCTGACACCTGCTCACGGCCTGGTTGAGAGTCACTGATTTACTACACAAAATGCAGACTGTCAGTAAAGGGACCCAGATAAAGGAAGCGCCTTAGGATTGGCTGCAGTTGAAAGCAGATGAACCCATGGCAAAACCAGACACACTTAGGAAAGAGAACAGAACACCGTTTACTTATGAAGAAGTGTTATTGTTTATTAATATAGGATAAATATTTGCAAAGAAATTTTAATTGAAAAAGTATAAATATTTCTAAAAAGTATTGAACTGTTCTGAGGACAGATTTTAATTATTAAAGGTACCAAAGGCTGAAACGATCATTGGCTCTCTATAATATGTACGTGCACCTTTTACATATCACTTCAAAAATTATTCTATTCCAACATCAAGTAGCAAGATAGGAGAGGATATTATAAAAGATAGCTTTCTATTTCAGCATCATTTACTTTCAGTACGTATGAGCACGCAGACAGTGCAAAGTTTAGCCAGATAGAAATGCTCACTTGTTACATGAGACAATGTGCTCGGTTCCCAAAATACTTTTGTCATGACCACAGACTGGCTGACCTAAATTTAGACTTTTTAATACCAGCCAATGCTGGCATCTTCTAACAGCACTTAACTTGCACTGTGCTGTGGTGCAGAGAGAGAACAATGAGTTTCCTATGTTAAATGGTGTAACTCCCACAGATCACATACACCTCGCCATATTGATTCAGTTCATTGCATTCCATATCCTGCAAAAATAAATCTACTGTAGGACAGCTGACATTATTGCTCACTGAAGATTTAGTACTATATTTCTCTAACATAAGACAGAAATACAGTGAAATCTGATAACAAATCCAACAGCAATATGAAATTAAACCACATATATGCACCACGTTTGTATAGATGTTGCATTTTTCACATTTATGTCAGAAAATGTTACAGGAGAAAACTTGCTTCTCTTCAGACAAAGGCAAGGAATAAGAACAGCCCTTCTGTAAGAAACTGTTAAAGAATAACCGGATCCTGGAAAGACAGTCTGACTGCCTTTGTACACTAAGCACTTTACTGTCATCAGGGAGTAATTGTGTACACAACAGCAGTGGGACTACTTCTAGAGATCAAGTATCAGAGGGGTAGCCGTGTTAGTCTGAATTTGCAAAAGCGACGAGGAGTCCTGTGGCACCTTATAGACTAACAGATGTATTGGAGCATAAGCTTTCGTGGGCAAAGACCCACTTCGTCAGATGCATGTAGTGGAAATTTCCAGAGGCAGGTATAAATATGCAGGCCAGAAAAACCTGTAGGGGAACACTTCAATCTTCCTGGACACACAATTGCAGATCTAAAAGTAGCTATCCTGCAGCAAAAAAACTTCAGGACCAGACTTCAAAGAGAAACTGCTGAGCTACAGTTCATCTTTAAGTTTGACACAATCAACTCTGGATTAAACAAAGACTGTGAATGGCTTGCTAACTACAAAAGCAGCTTCTATTCTCTTGGAATTCACACCTCCAGATCAGCTGCTAGAAGTGGGCCTCATCCTCCTTGATTGGATCCACCTGGTCATCTCCAGCCTGATCCTGGCCTGCATATTTATTCCTGCCTCTGGAAATTTCCACTACATGCATCTGACGAAGTGGGTCTTTGCCCACGAAAGCTTATGCTCCTACACTTCAGTTAGTCTATAAGGTGCCACAGGACTCCTCGTCGCTTTTACTTCTAGAGAGTGGCTCCTTTATGTAAGTCCTGAAAAATCTAGCCCTAAATATTTAGTATCTTTATTTGTATTAAATTTTCTTTAAAGCATTTTATGCTGCTTCCCTAGATCTGCTGTAGTGCTAATGAGGCAATTCTCATATTTCTATACGTTTTTACAGAGGCTGTTTTTAAAATAAAGGGTGTTTCTGTTTCCATCCCAAGCTGAGCCCATCCCCATTGAGCTAGCGTGCTAAAAATAGACTGTGAGCCCCACAGTGCAAGTCCTGACCACAGTCTGAGAGTTTAAGTGCACACTTGAGGTGGGGAGCCCCTCTCTTCAATTGCACTGCCGCTGCTATCCTCTATTTTTAGCCAGGTAACTCAACCAAACAGAGCAACTGTGTGAACATCTCACTGAGCTGGGAATCGCCCCTATTTCAAAGGGCAGCCATACTCTACATTTCAGGTAATATGTTCAATTTTATTGGTATAATAGGCTCAATTCTGCTTCCATTAAAATCAAGGGGAATTTTTGTTCCCAATGGGACAAGAATTAGACCCAATGTCAATCATAACGGGATATTCACAAAGGAAGCACTTGATCTGACTGGTCACTGAACATTTCAAGGCAAAGTGATATTAGATAATACTATATCACTAAAGCTTAGAGAACCTTATTGCTCACAATTATAGCCATATGCGACTAAAGTAAATGCTGAGAGCAATTGTGGAAAATTTCTTGCCAGGTGAAACCAGCAATTTTTCTCACTAAGTGAATAGTCTGGCTTTTTGACAGCCTTTTTCATGCTCCTTTGTTACGTCACCCTCTCCACTCCATATCCCTCACCATAGCTAAATATAACAAAAACTGGCCCTTCAAGGGTTTATGGGCCCTGGTCCGCTTAATTTAAAAATGGAGAGTATTTCAGAAGGGTTTCACTTTTCTTTATGCAGTTCCCTCAAGTCCTTGGAGTCTCTTCTATGGTTCTGCTGATGCCTTGTAAGGACTCCTTGCTTTGGATAGAGGAAACAGCCCACCTTTATGAACTCACATCCACTTCAATTCTCTACAAGTTCTACCTGCTCCTTCCTACATAAAGAATCCCCTTTATATTTTAATCCAAATTCAGACATCTAATAGTTGTAGCTGCAGAAGACAAAGCCTCACAAACAAGCAAAGGCTATTCAGTGAACCCTGAACTAGTGAAGCTTAATAGTTTCAAGACGGATTTAATACTCCATTCTAACATCCTACAGGGGAGGAAAATTGATTGTAGTGCAACATATACTTCTCTGCAATGTCTACACCCTTTTTATTTCGGCAGTAATTTAGCCAAAGGAAGGCTTTACATTTCATCCATCACTTTTAGTTAAGAGGGAATTGCTTAAGTCCAAGTTTTCGCAGGGTGTGGTTGATATACTATGATGGTTGAATACACACAATCAAAGGCCACATGCCTCGCAAATCAGAACCACAGATGTGCTGGGATCTCAATAATTTTATTACATTTAGGAGTCTTCTATTGTCTGAAGATAACTACAATCCCCTTCTGCTTACAAAAAAGGAAAAATATTCAAACCTATGCTAACAAAGTGATAAGAAGAAACGAATAACAAATGGATCTTAAGTTTCTTGTTTTAAGGCTTCCCTAAAGCATTCCCCCAAAACAAACCAAAAGAATCAGTCAACAAATATTTAGATCTTATTATATAGTAAAATATGTTGGCAGACAAGGCCTCAATTTCAGCAAAGAAAAATGGTGCAGAATGCCTTTAAAAATTTAAAAATAGGAGCTAATATAGCAGTCAAGTTAGAAAAAAAACCATTCTTCATAAGCTATGAACTTTCTGCAGACTGCCTTTAGCCCTACAAATCGGTTTTGTCTGTTTGAGCTGGACTGGTGCTACTGCAGCCTTCTTCAGCATTGTTCTTATCTCCAGGCTCAAATGATAATGAAGCAGAGTTTATGCAATATCTTTTGCCAGTTGGACGAGGCCCATCATCGAAGATATGCCCCAGGTGAGCACCACACTGAAATAAAACAACAAAATATCATTACATTTCTATACAACTACATGGCATGGCATGGCATGGCAATGCAATGAATACTAAGGTCTTAAGGTTAGTCTATTGTGGGACAATGGTTACACCACGAAACTAGCTTGAACAATGTCTTAGGTACCTTTCATTAGCAGGGGATCTCAAATTTCATTGCCCTGTAATCTCAATCTCAATCTCTCTCTCTCTCTCTCACACACACACACACACACACACACACACACAACTACATGACTCCAGGAGGAAAGAACGAAGTTTGAGCCCACCAAGCTCCACTGCCCCAGGTGGGGGGCCTATAACCTGAACCCCACCACTAAGGGATGAAGCCCTCAAGTTTTGACTTTGGCCCAAGGTGGTGGGACTCAGCTTCGCACCTGGGATGTGAAGCTTGGGCTTTGGACCAGACTCCAGCAAGTCCAACACCAGCCTTGGTGACCTCATTAAAAGAGATTTGTGATCCACTCTGTGGTCCCAACCCACGGTTTGAGAACTGATGGACCTTTAGTTGTCTCTGCAGGTTGTACTAGGGACCACAGAGCAGCAGAACTGTATGTATTTGATATAATTCAGAAACAACTATATTTCCGATATATTCATATTTTTGGCTAAATAACTGAAGCCAGGAGTAATTTATGAATTGGATTGATACACTTTCACGTTCCTTGCATGTGTTGTTACTACAGAGAGAAGTATTGTTTTGGATGAGTGGGTTTCAAATACGTACGACAGCACGGTACAAGCTATGCCACTGATAATAATAGTGGTGACATTCACTTTCCTTTCAAATGTTATGTTCTGTACGTAAGAAGTGGACCAATCAAACTATTTTCTGAAGAACTAAGACTGTGGAAAAGGCACGTGATGGGAGGAGAATCCAGCAGCAGGCTGTAATTAACCACTGTGATTCTTTCTTATTTCTCCAATATGTCATGAGGAATAAAAAATAAAACCAAGCCTTGAAGAAACATCAACCTTGAATAGAGAGTCGTGCTGCTTTGCTAGGGCCCAATGCACCTCTCATTAAAGTAAATGGTTGATTTCAACATGAGCTGAAATCAGTGGAGTTCGAGGGGTATCATAGTTGAATCCATCCCTTCATAGATTAGCAGCCTAACAGACAGTAATCCAGCCGGACATCAAGATAACAGAAATTAAGGCAAAGAATTCTTTACACTTCATTCATTTCTAGCACAATATCCAAAGCACATATCAGCAATACTTAATATTCCTGAGAGTGTGAATAATTATTCATGCTGGCTAAATTCCTAGTAGCTCTGATACAGAGGCAGCCTAGGGTTATCAGGTAGTCAACTAGTCACTTACATTCCTAGCTTATACTCGCGTCATGTTTTCAAAGGGTATTTCACAATCATGTTCTTCAAAATAAAAGCTGAAATTCTGACCAGAGCTCAGCAAGAAGCTTTTTTCCCTTCGATATTTTCCAGATTTTGAAGGAAAAAAACCCTGTCACCTCAATTTGGGGCACAAGTGTCAAAAATCTCAAACATATTCAAAAATATTTGACCAATGTGTTTTATTGAAAAATTCCTCACCTGCTCTAATTCCGATCAACACAAGACTTCAGGAGCAGGGGTCCTAGCCAAGTGCATATAAGGCCTATGCCTTAACCCAGTGCTGGATGAAGAGATCCTTGCCATAAGGAGTTGAAAGTTTAAGGCTTCAATCCTGCAGTCAGATCTGTATGGGCAAATCTTTGTGAATGGGAGGCTCCTGCTGTGGTTTTGGGGATGGCACCTTTAAAGGCTGAACTTCTCAGACAGAGAGGGCTCTACTCTGTAAAATGTCTGTTGTCACCACAGCCAGCTGGAACCAGCCACAGAATCACAGCAGAGCTTTTACAACCACCTTAACCCTGAGTGATCATTGAAAACCACACCAGCTTCCTGAGGGCAGGTTGTGGTAAAGCCCTTCTCTTCTGGAAAGGTTGCAGAAATGGCAGTGGTAGCTCAGTGGAGACATAGCGTTAGCCAGTGAGATGGCTCTCACTCTGTGACATTGTTAGGAAGAGCTCTCAATAGCTGCTGTTCCACAAATCAGTGTTGGAAGGCAAAGGACTGACTGATGGGTAGGCAGTTAAGGAAGTAGTTAACAGGTTGATAAGGCTAGGGACAATATAACTGCCTCATTTTTTTCATGGGAGATGGGAGGAAGCAAAGAAGGCAAGAAAGGTTAAATGAAAAAAATAAAAACATACATAAACAAAGATGACATTTTCAGATAATACAACTAAAAAGTCTGATGTCATTCATTACGGGTCACTATCTTGTATCCCCCTTCCCATCCTTTTTGTCCACTGAGTTTGTAAGATTTTTGAATCTGTATTTTTAGAGCATGGGATATATAGCATAATGGAGGGATTATTCTGAGTAGGGCCTTTACATACCACATAAGTCATAATAATTTAGTGTCCAACAGTATTTATGCAAATCCAAAATATGACAATTACATCTTCTTGACTAAGGAAGTTTTCAAATCTCAGGGTTGAACAGCACAGTCTAAGTCATGTCATCATTAAGCAAAATATTATTTATAAATCACTCATTCTCAAATGTAAAGGAACTGAGAAAAAGAAGTTACACAGAGGAGCAGATTGAAATGAAAAACCAACACACAAATGTACAGACTACCACGTCAGTCCATCACAATGGAACTCGTTGGCAAGAAATTCTTAAGCCTCAACAATGCTAGCAATCATTTCATTCTATTTTTCTGTGGTGGTAGAGTCACACCAGGATTGGATTACTGAGAAATCTGTTATATTTTGTGACACTGTCTCTCACTAACATTTACACACAGATTCCATGTACACATGTGCTGTTACTCATGTGTAATGAAAAGAACTCAAATTCAATTGCTTGTGCCAGAGAGGACTCGCGGTGGCTGTCTGAAAGTATGAAAAACGTGCTGTCTTTACAGTGCATATAACACTTTGCCCATCGTGGGTGAGTGTCAAAGTTGGTAACGCCTCCCCCTGAAAATCACTTGGTGGTGGTTGATATAGTGGGCAAATAGGGTTGCCAGATGGTTTCAACAAAAATACCGGACACACTTGACATTACATCACAATCTACATTACATCGTATTTAGAAAATACCGGACATTTATATTTTCTCAATTTGTTTCCTGACCAGAAAGCTCAAATACTGGACTGTCCGGTTCAAAACCAGACACCTGGCAACCCTATGGGCAAAACATGGCAAAATGATAGAAGCCAAGCGTAACTCCTGGGAGATTGGGAATACAACTGACCACAGCCAACTGTCAGCATGGCAGGGTCTCCCTGGGCCCCTGGTTCTCACTTGTTGCCATGAGCTGAAGAAAGCACTGTGTGATTGGGCTGCTAATGATTTATTCAGCGTATATCAACGTGCAACCAATCTTTCTGTGATTAAAGAATTTTCATTGGTTTTTACAGGTACAACATAATCACTAGGGAGTCCCTTGGGGGAAGGACCCCCTGCATAGGAAAGGAAAAGGAAGGAGAGAGAGAATGTGTAACCAATTTAATATTATTCTCTAAATGTGCCAGCAATTAAACATTTACCTGTCACAAGTAACTGACATTATATGTGTTTCCACAATGATATGTTTCTAACAAAACTGTAAAAATGGTTTCTCAGATAATCCCAGGGATGCTTTTGTTTTATATTAATGTAATTTCCCTATCCTTCCCCCAGTGTTTGATCTCTAAATTGAACAACGTTTTAAAGAGAGGCTTTTACACAGGACCAAACAGATGGAGGGACATTTACAGAAAAAGCAGCTTACTTTTTCATCTGCAAGAGATTTGGAGCATGGGGGAAGGGGAGTGTTTACAAAGAACTGCAATGCAGTAAAATTGTGGTCTTTTTTGCTGCTGGATACATTATTCACATTCTTAGGATCCAGGGGAGGTGAGGAAATGGTTGTGTTATGGGTACACTACATGGGGATGCTGTGCCTTATAGTGGCTGCAATTTGTTCCCCACCTCCAGGCTATCTTCCTGTGTGATCTGCCCCATCTGGTGGGCCAAGAATGCGGAAGCCACTGCTGGACTTTGCTGTGTGGTTTGGCCTCATATTTCCCTACCTTATGTAGTAAGTTCAGTTTTTGGTGTGCTTTTAAATTGGTGTGTACATTGCTAATGCCATTCTGTAAAGTCTTCCAATTTGGGTTTCTCTGAAGCCAGGTAAATGACATTCTCAAATTTCTCTACACTGACCACACTCTGCTTTGGACTCCATCCAGGTGAATGCAAAAAAAAGGTGGGTTCTTTGGAAGGGAGTCATCGTAGTCCAACCCATATGTTGGCCACAGGCTTCCTTTGGCTGTACTCATGTCCTCTCATGGGGCACTGAGTAGGAGGCGTTTTCAGTGAAGGTCAGTAATCACTGAATATAAGAGCGATTCCCAAACTGTGGTCCCACGGAAACCTTGCTAGAAGCTCACAGAGAGCTGATTCCTCAGATGATGCCGGCTCTCCTTGCTTTCAATGAAGAGAGCAGATGGAAGGATGATGCAAAGCAAGATTTTTGTAGATCCAGATAAGGGCAATTAGATCTCTAGGCAGGACGTAGGTGAGTTATGCAACATGTAAAAGTATTTTATTTTATCCTGCTTTCAATCTGCACCCATGTATGTGTTTTATGAGAGAAGTAGGCATTGTTTGACTGACCCTCTTTTTGCTATTCACGATCGAATACATCTCTACTAGGTCATTTCTTATTTATTTCTTATCTGTACTCTGATATGATAAAGATCTTAAAGGAATACTTCAAAAAGAGCATTACTATTTTGATATGAACATTAGATACATGGCCAGCTATGAATTTCAGATAACAAAGATATTCAAATACCATGAGAGTTGTTAAACACAACCCTAATAATTTTTATTGTTGCCTCATTGGGAATTTTTTCCATCCCTCTAATTTAATTTCATTGCTTTTCCTTGCATTTTTTGTATTTCTACTATATCCTTTTCTAGACAGCAAGACCTAACCAGAATAGCATTCTATGTGACACCATATCTGTGGATTTATAGAATGGCATTATAATATTTGCAGTATTATTCTTTATACCTAAATACTCTGTAACATCTTGGTTGCTTTTCTAACCACCAAAATCCATTGATCAAATCTTTTCACTAAACAGTCCACAACAACAGCCAGGTCTTTTTCCTGAGTGGTTTCAGTTAATTTAAAACCCATGAATGTATGAGTAGAGACTTGTCTACATGGCGCCAGCAAAGCTCCCTAGAGAGTTGTGATTTGTAGAGTGCATAACATGTTGTGCGCTAACTGCCCCTGTAGACCCAGCTGAGGCTCTCTTTCAGGTACTGGCTCACGTTAATATAGTCCGGTTTCAGCCTTTTAGAGCAAGCCAGCAAGGTCTATGCAGGGCATTTAGAGAACATGTTTTTGCCTTCTACAAATTGCAGTCCTCTGGCATGCTTTGCTGTGCCAACAGACAAGCCTTGTTCAAATCTTTCATTCCAAAGAACACCCGCCCGTGCACTTTTTCAGTTGGATGTTATCTGCCCTAGTATTATGGAGCTGTTAAATCGTAATTAAATAGTACCAGTTACCAGCTGGACACGGTTCTAAGCACAGACTGGGGCACAAAATATTCTCAATGCTTCTAGTATCTCATTGAGAAGTACTGTCCTAAACTCAGCCAGGAAAGAACTAGTCCCAACATGTATGGAAGGGCAGGTTATATACCAGTGAGTGAAGTATGGATGTATTCCACTAAGGGTTATGAGCATGCACCCTTGACCTGGAACTAGAGCTTTTCAGAGCAGTAGCATCTGTCAACCCACGCATCCACCCTTGCACTGCCACATGGTTTTGCCCAAGACTATAAAGGGTGAGGCAGACTAGCCGCATCTTCTAGTCCTTCTCGGCCACCATCTACTGGACCCACAGCAGAGGGAAAGGAGGGTGAGATTGCAATATAGAAAGGAACGACAAATCTCAGAGAACCTCCAGTTATAAGTAAGTAACGTCCCTTTCTTCTCCAAGTGATAGTCCTTGTTCTAGTCCACTGATGGTGATTACTAGGCAATATCCAGCCAGGAGGGTGCAAGGAAGATAATGTAACTGTGAAATGGAGGAACACTGCAACAGAGAAGGTGTTCATCTCAGAATCATGTACTAGAACATAGTGAGAAGAAAAGCTGTGTACCGAACTCTATGTGGCTGCCTTATCTAAGTCTACAATCAGCAATTTGTGGAGTGTGGCAGAATTTGATGCTTGCGCATTCATGAACTAGGCCCTTATTCCATCTGGTGGGAACCATCTTAAAAACTGATAGCAGAGCATACTGCACTTTCAGACCCACTTAGAGATTCTCTGGGTGAAAATAGCCTGCCCTTTAATTCTCTATTCGCTACGACAACAAGTAATCTGGGAGACATCCAGAACGTCTTCATCTTTTGTAGATAAAAGGAGTGAAGCTGGAATTTCTCAATTAAAGTATGTGATTTGGGAAAGAAAGTAGGTAGATGTATAGTTTGGAAGTGGTGGAAGTGGGAAACCACTTTTGATATAAATTTGAGGCACAGGTGCAGTGAAACTTTGTACTTATAGTACATGGTAAAAAAGAGGTTAACTATCCTCTGTAGCAGCTCTTGATACCGATGATGTCATTAGGGGAACAGGAGGGCATTCATGACACAGCCACATCTGGGGACAATGAGAGAAACTGCTCCAGACCCATCAGTACTTTTTGTTCCAGACTAATTGGCACACCTTCTAGCCCTGGTTCCGAAGGTCTGCTTAATGAAGGATGGAATGGTAAAACAGGGGAGTCCTCCCGCATCGGACAAGGTGGTTCCAAAAATGAATACTGGGGCCATGAGCTATGTACCCAAGGAGACAGGTACCAGTGGCTCCCAGAGGTAAGTGAAGGCATTGCCACGGTGCCGTTGGAATGCTCTAGTAGTCATGAATTTGGAGCAGAAGCAACAGATTGTGGTCAACATCTGAATCTGCAGAGTCAGAGGAACCCGAGTCCTGTACAAATGACGATGCTGATGGAACCGGGTATGTTGTAGAATATGGCCAGAAATTGGCAGATCCAATGTGAGGGTTGGGGCTCTCTTAACAGGCAAGTGTATTGGAACATAGGGATGCCTCATTTTTTCAGGGTGAGCAGTTCAAGAAGCCAAAGAGCACTTCCGAATCTCCCTGGAGTCAATGGCACAAAGTCTATGGACAGAACCAAGACCAGTAAGGGGACTTGTCTCAGGATCCATAAATCACGAAGACTATGTAACTAGGGCCAGCCAATTTGGTGAGCAATGTGACTTCTTGCTGCTCTTGTGGTCCTTGGAACGGGACATTCCTCTGTGGTCAGAACTCGTGGATGGTACAGCATCTTTCTTGGATTTAGAGGCAGATATACTGCCATGCTAATGTGCATGCTACCAGGACACATGGCTAGGCCACCAGTACCATAGCAGTGGTCCTGGCAGAGCCGGACTGAGGTTCTGAAATAGAAGGTGCATTCTTGGCTTGTTCAGACCGATGTAGTATGAGTGGAGGGTGGAGTTACTTGGCCAGGATCTGACTGAGGCAACTTCCATAAGTTGCTTAAGTCAGAGGGCTAGGCTTTCCTATGTATAGACAGAGGAGTTAGAATCAAATACTGCACCTGGGCATGGAACAGTACAGATAGCATTGGTGCTTGTCACTGAGCAAAAGCGAGTGATGGCAGAAAGTGCAGATTTTGAATCCAGGTATCTTTGGCACAATCCAGTATCCCGGACATGGGTTTTAAAATACAAATGGTCAACACCACATTTCAAAATATGGAAAGTAAATATCTTTAAATCAGCTTCTAAGTTCTTATGCACAATTCCCCACCTTCCCCCCCACACACACTTTGACTCTGTAAATCTTTTCATCACTGTGTGTGTGTGTAGAGTGATATCAACATTTACCAACTTTTACTTAGAAAAAAAATATAAATAGGCTTGGAAGGTTTTTATCATTTAGTTCTACAAAGCAGTTCAGCAAAGTGATGATTATAAGATGATGAGGTTCCTCAGTCCATTGTGAAATAAAACCAGCATGGCTCGAGTTCTTTTAATATTGAGCAATATCTTTTTCTGCAGCAAATTTTCCTGCGTAGTGGTAAAATTCTTTTGCAATCAGAAGTGATAGTACAGCTTCTGAGTGTCTTGAAATGCATACAGCACAGCTACCAAAAATGTGTTAAATGTTTTTTTTGCAGAATCGCACTTAGATAAGAATAATATAATTTCTCTAATTTTATTAGTAGATTATTTCCCTTCAAACTGACTCAGGCTTTGTCTAGGCTTGCAACTGATAAACAAAACGCCTGTAGTTCACAGGTGCTTAAATCGCCCATCTTCCCCAAATGACAAAAGTGTTGCTGTAGCAAGTGCCAGGGTAAATGCTGATCTGTGAGCAGGAGCACTCTCCTGCCGACAAAGCAAAAGCTACTTGTGAGAATAGAAGTATTTTGTCGGTAAAAGTGTTGACAAACAGCATTCACATGCACTGACTTTTAGCAAGAGGGCACAGCCTTTTGCTAAAATCTGCATAGTACAGTCACACCCTCAGGCACAGGCGTATTGGGCCCCATCCTGCACACACCAAAGTTAACTGAAATTTTGCCATTGTTTTCTGTGGGAGCAGAAATGGCCCCAGAAGAATACAATATCATTTCAAACAGCCTCTTTCTTAACATGCTCTGAGCATTCCTGTCTGAGCACAGAATAATCAGGATATATTTCAGCAATGCTGAAATCGGTTATCCCAGCCTCGGTCTTGTCTGGAAACGGAAAGGCAGATTTATACAGCATGAATGAAGCTGTTGCAGACTCACAAGAAGGGATTTGAGGATTTGGAACTGGATGATTTTGAGCTGCTGGGTGTTTTTGCTACATGCTCAGTCAGCAGTTTCTCTCCCTTCTAGGTAATGATTATGCCATTCATTTCACAGAAAGTTGGGCATCACAAAGGATGAAAGCAAGTAGAACAAGACAGATAACGGAAAGTTGGGAGCATCTGGCACTATTACTGACTTCATTATTATGGCAGATAGGATTACTTGGTATGGCCATTAAGAGTGTCCTGGGAATGGGTCTTGAATTTCAGTTGGTGCTGCTCTTCAGTAATGCACAGTGATGGAATCAACATACCAAGAGTCACTACAAAGCTCACAACCCCTATCAAACCCATTCGCAGATGGAGGTAGAAGGGCAGAGTGCAGGGATGGGGTTCCTTTCAACAAGAGGATTTTTGCATTCTTAACACCACTGATTCAAACCATTAATGCATGCTCTGTTACACAGGGCTTCAGCTGAACACCGCCACACACTTTCGCTGGTGCTCCGACCATTCATCTGTCATACTTGCATGTAATCTTAAGAATACTAGTACGTCATGAATTAAAAGCTTTGCAAATCACAGTGAGAAGATAATGTGCTGTAACAATATTTGCTGCCTTTACTACCCAAATGGTCTTTGTGTGCGTGCCATACACTGACCTGGCTGCAGCCTGTTTCGATCCTGTGCATCCCATATGAGAAGTCATCGGTGAACATAATGACATCAGGACTGATCACATCATAGAATGAAGGCCAACCTGGAGAAGAGGAACAAGAGAAATCAAGAGCATCAGTATCTCTGTATCAGAGAGGGTTACCAACAAATTACAAACACTAAGGGTAACACTGTCAAAAGCACCTACGTGACTTAGGAGTCGAAGTTTCATTTTCAAAAACGCCTGTGGCGCCTATGTGGCACCTTTGAAAAGGTTACCTTGAATGGACAACTATAAGACAGTACAGGTTGAACCTTTCTCAACTGGACTCTCTAGTCCAGCAACATATATGATCTGGCAGAGTCCCAGTGGAGGGCCAGAGTCAGGAGCTGTGTGGAGCCCAGGAACCCAGCCAGGCTGCCTGCAGGAGGCCCAGTGGCCAGAAGCCCTGATGAGGGAGTCTGGCTAAGCCAATGACAGAGTGACCGGAATGCCAGCACGCTGGGTCTGCTGTGGCAGAGCCAGGACTCGTGGCAGCAGGTCAGTGGTCTGCTGTGGTGGGACTGTGGGCTGCTGCAAGTGGGGCTAGGAGCCCCAGCGGCAGGGCTGGTGCTGCCACGGTAGAGCTGGCAGGGGAGGGAGGACCACTGGTGGGACTGTGGGCTGCCTTGGCAAGGCAGTGGGGCTGGTAGCAGGTGGTGAGCCATCTGGGAGGCCAGGCCAGGAGTGGAGCTGAACTGGGAGGCAGGTGACAGGGGGCCAGAAATGACCTCCCCTCATCCGTCAAAATCCCTCATTCAGGACCAATCAGGTCCTGAGGATGCCAGACCTAGGAGGTCCAACCTGTATTCAGAGTTAGGCCCTCTCAGAGAACAAGCTGCCTGCAGCTGCCTTTCTTGTACATCTGCAGAGCTCCCTGCCAAGCACTCCCACAGACAGTCTTGTCTAGAGAGACAGATGAGCGTTCTGATAACCCAGACACAAATTCCAGCCATTTAAATTTTTGAAGATAAATAAAAAAAACTCTAAAAAGCAATGACACCAGTTCATGGGATGCACGTGTTATATGATCTCTATGGAAAACCCCACTTAATAAAGGGCTCCCAAATTCTGAACTCGCTCAGCTTCTGCATAATCTCAGATGCAACCCCCAGTAGATAGCCCCAAGGAGGGTCTAATCTCAAGGCAAAAAAAGGCACGGATGAGCATAAGGCCTACATCCAGACCAAAAGATCACATTTCCCTTTGCCAAGCCCAGATGGGAAAATGCGCTCTTTAACTCAGTTGCTACCCGAGCATTCCATAGCAGCCTTGGGTGCAATAAAAGTGTTATGTTGTGATCCCTGTTTAGAATTCATGGCTGAGCATCATCATCTGAAGAAAGATCCTTCCTCCTTTGACTATACACTCTCTAGTCCCATACCCCAGCCACCAATACAGGGACCAGGGAACCTACGCCCCCGCAACTACAGTATTCTAGCAGATTCCCCACTACCACCACCTCATTGGTTCACCGAAAAAACAGTCAAACTGCTATATTGCCTCTTACTAGGCTTGCACATGAGAACCTACCCAAAAGGCTTTCAAGACCACCTAAAAGCCTACTCAACATCCACCTAAACATCACCAGATACCGCCCCTTCTCATGCACCCTTCTGAGGTCACTCACCCATACATTATACACATACGCACTCTGTCTCTCTGTGTATCCAGCGCAAATATATCAGCGTTTCCCCTTCTTTCTCCTAATATCTGTTAAACATTTGTTACTAATGGTTTCATAAAATGTCTTGCAGTTAGTCATTAAAGAATGTAGCTGCAGCTACAAATCACTTTGCACAGATGAATACAGGATGTACAGTTTCCCACAAGATTTTTAGTAAAGCGAGGTATGGAAGCTATCAAATGGTCTCAATATGTGTAGAAAAGCATCGTCAATGGGGAACAATGCTGTATCTCTATTGTAACACCTTACTCAGTTAAATGTGGAGAAAAGCTTTTGAAGAAAAAAAGCATGTAAGGGGTGAAATTAAATGGAAAGCATAGTGCTCCCTCCCAAGCTGGTTCATTTCTCACCCATTAGGAAAAATTTGGATGAATACAGTATCATCTTAATTAAAGCTCCAATCCTGCAACAAGCTCCAAGTAGGGAGCCCACGGGACTCGCAGTGAAATCCATGAGGTCTACCCACATACAGCACATTGTCGGATCAGGAGCTAAAAGTGTTATCCAAGTGCAATCAACAGGAAATAATGGACAGCAACAAAGCTGTAGATCAAATAATCTGAACAAGGCAAACATCCTGCCAGAGAGAAACCCACCTGGAACCCCTCCAGTAATGTAATTTAAAAAAAAAAAAAAGAATTGTTACAAGTAACAAATGTCTTTATAAATTACTCCATACTGTAAACCACCCCTGCCAAATAATGCACATAGCTTCACAGAGAGAGAGAGAGAGAGAGAGAGAGAGAGCAGCCTATTACAAAGTTCTGCAGAATGGGAACACTTCAAAAATTCATTATCTTCCAGTTGGTGGATCTTCTCCAGCAATGCAAATTATCTCCTGAGCTGGAACTCCACCTAATGATGAGTGAGATTTTAAGCAGAGCTGGCTAAAAAAAAAAATATTCAACAGAACTTTTTCCATCAAAACCAAAATGTTTTGCGAAGCAGAATTCTTGTTTTCTGGCCAACCTCAAGTCTTAAGGCAGAGAAGCCCCAAAGAAGAGAGCATTTCCCTCATCATGTGAAAGTATTTGAAGGAGGAACTTTTCACTGCTGTAGAAATCCTCAAAGGGAACCCTCCCTCCCCCTACACACAACAATAAGGAGAAAGCTTCAAAGGCTGCAATGCAGAGATTGAAGCAATCTGTGTCTTGCTGAGAAAATTATCTTGTGCAAAAGGGTTGGGGGATGTGTTTGTGTCAGTTTTGACATTAAAGGAAGACCATCCATCCTCCTCTCTCCAGACTTTTCCTTTTGGTCTTCCCATCTAGCACAAAAATTATTTGTTTTGGATGCATTCCATGCACTTTTTAAAAGTGAAGTCAGCTGAAAACCTGTACAAACAGAGTTGAGCTCCCTTAAAGCAGCCTTTGTACCCAACTGGAGTGACTGGAATTTAGTCTATTAATTTCCAGGGCATGCATTTTTTTTCAGAATGTCCCTTATTCTATAGATTCTACCAGTTACGTATCTGCTCCCCCAAAGTACTGACTACAAGGCAGTTAGCAAACCCCAAAAGTGGTTCCTAAGATTTGTAACCACTTTTTTATACTAACCTCAATGCTATCCCCACCTCATCACCTCTTGTATCTCTTATAATAGTATTGTGATGAACTAATAACATTAGGTGGATTGATAGTACAACTGTATGAAACCTGCAGAGTACAATTCATGAAGGGCATTTAGCTCCATTTGCGGCTGACCTGGAAATGGAGCTAAATTAATTGCTCCATGTTTTGTGGGAGATTTGAGATCACTGGGCAAACCTACAGAGGACCAGTGCCCTTCACCCTCAGCTCCCTCCCTCTCACGTGTAGCATATAGAAATAGAAGCGTATCTCTTAGACAGTTTGTGAGCCTTTGAGTAGTGCTCATTGTGCACTATATGTTTTAAAAGCTGCCAGAAACCAGTGAGAGCTGCAATACATGTCTAGCTAATAAACACACTTATCTGATGCCCAGTTGTACCCATGTGGCTTCTTCATATTGTCTGTATTGTGTCACTAGCAAAACACACAACAAGGGCTTTATTGTTTCTCCTCCTTTCCTAGCAACCTCCAGAAGATCTCTTCTTAATTTGGATCATACCTACACTACAGCTTAAGGTGTAACTGTGGCTCAAGCAGGCTTCATGTGCTGGTTTTAATCTAGCTAGCACCAGTAACAATAGGAATCAAGATGTGGCAGCATAGGCTTCATTGCAGGCTACTTGCTGCTGTAAATGTCCATCAGGACTACGGGTATGTTCTCAGGCTGCGAGCCCATGCTAAAGCGCCTGCTGCCATGTTTTCATTACTAGCCCCCATTAGCTAGACTAAAGCTAGGATGGGTATGCCTATAAATTAATTAATGGAGATTGCCTATCTCCTAGAACTGGAAGGGACCTTGAAAGGTCATCAAGTCCAGTCCCCTGCCTTCACAGCAGGACCAAGTACCATCCCTGACAAATTTTTGCCCCAAATCCCTAAATGGCCTCCACAAGGATTGAATTCACAACCCTGGGTTTAGCAGGCCAATGCTCAACCACTGAGCTATCCCTCCCCACTTCATAGCCTTCATAGCTGTGTGGACATACCTTTAGATGTCAATCTCTCACCACTTCTACCTCCTCCAGAGCAGCGGTTCCCAACCGCCAATCCATGGACTGACAGTGGGCTACGAACAGCTGGCTACCAGGCCTTGGTGGTTCTGGGAGCCGTGGCTGGGGATCATCACCTAGCACCTCCCCTACCGCCACAGCTGTTGGGAGAGATACATCCTGCCCCACCTTTCAGCCAAACAGCACCAGGCAAGGGCAGGGTCTCCTCCCAGCTGAGGAAGAGTGGTTTGCCAGGCAGGGAAATGCTCTTCCGCAGCTGGGAGGAGACCCTGCTACTGCCCAGTGCTGTTTGGCTGAGTGGTGGGGCAGGATATGCCTTTCCCAACAGCTGCAGTGAAAGGGGAGGTACTGGGTGGTGTTCCCCAGCCCCGGCCCCCAGAGCTGCAGTGATGCAAGCAGTGACACTCAGCTGGGGGCTGGGAGGCAGCGCAGGGCTAGGTGAGGGGAGCGGGGCAGGCATTGAGAGGACTCCAGGAGTGGGGCTACTGCTGGGGGGCTCTAAGAGGTGGCTGGCACTGGAGAGGGCTAGGGGTAGGGCTAGTAGTGGGGACTGGCACGGGGGGGCTCTAGAGGAGTTGGGTGCAATGGGGCTCTGAAAACAGGAGGCTGGCAGTGGGGGTTCTGGTGGTTGGGGGCTCTAATGGGG